AAGTCTGTTTTAAAGAACATTTGTGGTATTTGGACATTAATATTACCGCCACCTATCTTTCAAATGGACCATTGACACTCCATCTACAATCTCAATTAGGAGTGTCAATGGTTCATTTGAGAGATAGGTGGTGTATACACTTTAAGTAAGTATATTGATTTTCTATTATAGGTGTTATCTGCATCTTTATGGGGAGGGATGATCTATCCTCTTGGGGGTCATCCTACCTCCATTGCTGACAGGTGTGCATTTGTTTGTTTGCTTTTCAGTGTATGCTTTTATTGTTAAAAAAAAAAAAAAAAAAAAAGGTTTTATAATAATACGCACTTATAATTATGTCTCATGATGTGTTCTAGTCATTTTGACCCAGAAAATGCTAGTCAGTGTTATCACTAAGTAAGACTAAAACTTACTTTGCTCACACAGGGTACAGCAACTTCTCAAAAATGTTTTAATAATTTTTATACTTTCCCCATCTTCTTACACTTGTGGTGTTCCTGGTCAAAAATGAAAAAAAAAAGCTTATAAATCTCTCATTATGCTATCACCAAATCTTGGATTCAGTCTTTTATCAACTTGTTTTCTTTCACTTAACACAGGTTTTGTATTTCTTTTTGGATTGATTGTAAGCCTCATTGATCTGAACTCGTGCACCTCAGTTTTTGAGAGAACATTGGCCATATTATCCACAAATAATGTTTTTTTTTTTTTACTCAAAAACCGAGGTGCATCAATTTAGATCAAAGAGGTCTAAGACCAGTCAATTAAAAAAGATACATAAAATCTGTGCTAATTGAAAGAAAATAAGTCGATGAAAAGATTAATTCCAAGATTTGGTGATGAAAAGGCACATAATTTTTGACTTGGAATACCAAATTAGGTAAAGGATTATTCGGTTTAATAAAAGCTATCTTGTATCAGCACAGTTCTAAAGAAACATTTTAGAATGATAAAATCACTCTCAGCTCAATTAAAAAGCCATTCACTGAAGTCATGTAAGCAATTTTGCTAATTTCGACGTGAATTAGATGCTCTCATCCCTTCAATCCTCACCTTCTCAGAAACACGCTAACCAGCCTGAACATGTTTATAGCATTTTACAAATTGCATTGTGGGTGTGTTTTTATGTCAGGTTCTACCTGGGTGGCCCAACCAGTGTGAGAGGTTTTGGCATGTACAGTATAGGCCCTCAGAGTGAAGGTAAAGGTGTATTTAAAAAAAAATTAGAATATACAGCATATAAATTTTTGTTTTTGTACCTTTATAATTTTGTATAAATTTTTCTTAATGATAGCTTTCTTAATGTTTGTTTGTGATTTGAAATCTTACCTGATCAGGTGATTATCTGGGTGGGGAAGCGTATTGGGCTGGTGGGCTTCACCTGTATACGACCCTCCACTTCCGCTCAAACAAACGCGGCCTGGCTGACCTCTTCAGAACACACTTCTTCCTTAATGCTGGAAACCTTTGCAACCTCAACTACGGTCAGTAGTCATTTATCGAAAACTTGTCATTTGTTAGTCTAGAAAAAGAGGATTAGTTTTTAACTGAGGAAATGCAGTTTATTACTTGAAATAAAATAAACAGTAAAAAAAATTAAATCATGCAATTTCTCATTTTAGTTTAACTTTATAATAATTCATTTAAATCATTAAAACTAAAAATACATCAAAAATGATATACATTAATAAAAGATACAACAAAATTTTAACTACAATAAAAATGGAAAATCTAAAAATGAAAACAATATTGTTGATACTAAAATAACACTAGTCTCTAGTTCTATAGATAGAATATATGCAATGAAGCCTTTTGTCCACATGGTAATGCTGTTGTTGCAGTGAAACTTTAGTATGACACTTTCAATTTAGACTACAGTGGGCTGAGTATTATGAAAACTATTTGTTTAAATCAGCCTGTCCTTCGATTTACAGTAGTTTTTGCTTGACATCATGCATCGTGTTTGTGTAGGAGAGGGACCACACGCACATCTGCAGAAGCTAGCAGAGTGTATCCGATGGTCTTACGGCGCAGGAATAATTCTACGACTGGGAAACATTGCTAGGCTTGAACTCAATTACTGCTTCCCCATGGGTGTTCAGAGCGGAGACAGGTACATATACACATCCACTGAACCACATTCATACTGCGTCACTGGCAAAATAAAGGCACTTTTGAATTTTTAATAAAGATGAGCACTTTTTTTTGAAGCCAAACCACTAATTTTCTACCTTTACTCTGCTGTTTTGAATGAACAATGATGGCCTTGACAAAGAACTGTGTTTGTTCTGCTTTCGATTGACTTGTGGGTTTTCTGTCAAATTGAATCGAGTTTTTAAAATTCCTCAACCTTTAACAACTACCTCTTTGCAAAGCAATCTAACCAACGATTTGAATCCTAAATTATTTTTTTGTTCCTTGACAGGATATGTGATGGTGTGCAGTTTGGAGCAGGCATCCGTTTCCTGTGATCTCGTAAAACTGCCGTCCTACTGTTAAAACTGGCATTTGTGGGATAGCGATTTTTGGATTTTGAAATGAGTGATCCCTCCTGCATGCACACTCTTGAGGATGCACTTAGTTTTTGTACCTGCAAGACAAAAAATACTTAGTTTTCCTGCATACCTCTCACTGTTTGAATAAGAGTCCAGGGTTTAGTGAACGACAATGAAAGCTTATCCAGTCTGCAAGGAGACTGCAGGTGCTAAAATAGTTAGGCTTTTACAGTTTTTTTCTAATGAGGAGAGCTTTAGAGATTATTCATGATCAAGCTGATAAACAAGAGATTTAATTCAAATCTACACCTCCGTCCACTCAAATATGTGCTATAATATAAGCTGTCCCTGCTATTGCGATGAAACCCTTGGATGAATTCTGAGAATGAAGAATGGATTATTAAAGGATGCATTTATCCTGTAGCCATTTGACTTGAACAAAGCACCTTATTTCCTTTTAAATCTGATTGTTTAATGTTTCAGTCAGTTTTCTCCTCTAATGCCAAACTAGGTAAATAAATTGATTCAAACTGACCTCACTGAATTAGTAGTGAGTCGAGTTTCTTCCAGCCATAAGTCCCCTTTGTGAGATCCACCAGCAGTGCTTTATTATTAGGACACTTTTTATTATTGTCTGAACTTAAAATTTATGTTTATTGTGCACAAAAATAAACCTTTTGGTTCCCTGATGTATTTGTTCTTATTTTGTGATCATTTAAAAAAAAAGTTGCCTTAAAAGGCTGAAATTGAATTGTCAAACACGTACTTTTACATGGCAACAATGGTGTACATGAACCACTAATCGAAATAAAATGACAGGATCATACAGAATGAAGGATAAAACATATGAGATTGAAAAACAAAAATGTCAGTAGCTCATATTGAACTATATTTTCATCTTGTTAAAAAACTGTAGTTTTAGACTCCTGAGTGGCAAAACACACACATTAGAGCTGTTTTCTGTTTGTCAAAGGTAACTAGCAGATCAGGAACAGCTTGATATCTGTCATGGAAAAGTAAACAGAAATGTGTCCAAACTATTTGCAGGATAGGATCCCTCCTGAGCCAAATAACTGACCTTGAGGTAAGGACCAAACACACACTGCCTGTTTTAACAGATGACTTACAATAATGCACTCCGATATGTTCTTGGATGAAGAGTTTTGTGAGTTCAAATATCATTTTATTTTGCCCTTCCACAAACTACGTCCTTAAAAAGTCTTAAATCAGAGCAGAAAATCTTAAATTCATGGCATTAAATGTTGCCAACATTGCAAAAAAAATATATATATAAGTGTTTTTGTACATATTTTTGCTAATTAAATATTTACACATCTACAACATAAATAAATCAAGATGCATTTACTTAAGATGCGAAATGAAGACATGAAGTCTTGTTTTCTTGGAAAAGATCAACTTTCTTGGATAATATCAACTCGCTTCATTTTAATAATCTTCACAGAAAACAAGACTTTTTATCTTGCATGTCATTTTGCTTCTGATGTAAATGTATCTTGATTTGACAATTTTAATAAATTCTCAAAAGTAATGGAGATTGATTGGAAGCTTTACTTTGAAAGTTTTTAGTGTTGCTAATACAATTTATTGTGTGCTCCCTAGACATGTCCTACACTCTAAAAAATGCTGGTTTAAATACAACCCAGCACTGGGTAAAATATGGACAAACCCAGCGATTGGGTTCTCTTGACCCAGCGGTTGAGTTAAATGTTTAACCCAACCTTCTGGGTAGTAACCCAAATGCTGGCTCAAAACAACCCAATTGCTGGGTTTGTCCATATTTTACCCAGCACTGGGCTGTATTTAACCCAGCATTTTTTAGAGTGTACATTTAGAGAACTTATTGACTTTGATTTATTGCTTTCATTTTCTTTACTTGGTTTTAAAAAGTCTTACATTTACCGTCATGAACCCCTCAGATATCCGTTATGTTTTTAATAATATTATTAATGATTAATAACTGTTACGCATCTGTCTAAATGAATAGGCGCCGTGACGTATGTCCCGGGAGCGCGCACGCACTGAACTCGCGTCGGTTCAGTCTGGTTCAGCTGCCACACTGAGAGGCCACCACATACAGTCAGTGAACCGCAGGACCGCATGTTCCCAGCCCACCACCCCGGACTTCAAACCTAACCTTTCTTTAAGTGTTTATAAATGCTGGTTTAAATTCAACCCAGCACTGGGCTGTATTTAACCCAGCATTTTTTAGAGTGTACATTTAGAGAACTTATTGACTTTGATTTATTGCTTTCATTTTCTTTACTTGGTTTTAAAAAGTCTTACATTTACCGTCATGAACCCCTCAGATATCCGTTATGTTTTTAATAATATTATTAATGATTAATAACTGTTACGCATCTGTCTAAATGAATAGGCGCCGTGACGTATGTCCCGGGAGCGCGCACGCACTGAACTCGCGTCGGTTCAGTCTGGTTCAGCTGCCACACTGAGAGGCCACCACATACAGTCAGTGAACCGCAGGACCGCATGTTCCCAGCCCACCACCCCGGACTTCAAACCTAACCTTTCTTTAAGTGTTTATAATATTTTCACCATGCTGTGGGCGGTGAACACCATCATAAGGAAATTCTCCTCGAGCTCTGTGAGTAATCGCATCTTCTGCATTGTTGATTTTGCCATACATATGAATGAATAAATGAATGCATACGTGAAAAATGTGCTTTATTGATGGCAGACACATGCATAGACCTTAAAATAAGTTTTCTAAATGTTGGTGAACTCTTAAATAACATTATAATACAGTGTTTACCCATGCACAGTTATTGTAAGTGTGCTGTCAGCTGATATAACCCAGTATCTTAATGCAATGTTGTAGGTGTTACACTTGTGTATTAATTCACTACATATGGACACTATATGCATGTTAATTAGATATAGGGTTCTATATAGTTAAACCGGTTTGGGATTTAATGTTTGCCACGTTGCTTCGTCGGATTACTTCCAGTGGACAGATCCGTGGAGAGTTGCATCAGCAGTGGGCGAGAATATGAAGGCAGATCATATTACTAATGCCACTATTACTAGAACACAAACTAGAACTTAAGATCACACGTGCACTGATAGATAAACATTTTGCATGCATGATCTTGCTATGACAATCCATAATTACTATGCTGTTATGTATTAGCAATGCTTTAGCTGGTTGTGTCTCCCAGCAGCTCTTTATATTTAGCCCCATCGTGCAGCACAGTTTCAAAGTTCTTTATTGGCATGGTTGTTTTGCATACAACAATGCCAAAACATCAGATGCACACACAAAACAAAGATTAAAACTTAAAAGATGTTTAAAGAAAAGATAATACAAATAATAATAATAACAATACAAAATAGAACGTAATATAATGAAATGAAATAGACAATGTTGTGCTCATTTTAGTCGAGATCTGTAAAGTTATTTAAAAAATACAAAAAAATGCAATTCGTGCAGACAATAACGATTTCGGAATTAAAGTCTTTGGATAGATTGTTTAAAAAAACATTAAAAGGCTGAAATTCTTGGTATAAATAGTTTGGCATAATATTTTATTTATTCAAACAATAATAAACTAATAATAACAACAACAGTAATGGTAAAAATGTATTATTTATAGTTTAAAACAATTCAATGTCCTCATTTTTATCATGATCTGAATTAAAAGTCATTTGAAAGATTGTAAAAAGAAAAAAAGTCTAATTAAAGGGCTGAAATTCTTGCTATAAGTAGTTTGGCATTCATTTATTTATTTAAACAATAAAAATAATAATAAACTAAGACTACAAGCAATAATAAAATATATTATTTATATTTTAAAATATTTTCCTTTTTTATCATTATTTGAATTAAAAGTATTTTGAAAGACTAAAAAAGAAAGAAAAGAAAAATGACTGAATTTCTTGGTATTTATTGAATATTTACTGAATTTCTTATTTATTCAAACATGAATAAATACCAAAACAATAATAATATATATTATTTATATTTTAAAACCATATGTCCTCCTTTTAATCATTTTTGACTTAATGATAATATAATAATACATAATACACTGAACACTAAATCAGCTGGTAAATATGAAGATCACAGCAATGGTTGGTTTCAGAGAACAAAGGCTCATATTATGAGTATACGAGTTATATACTGATTATGTTTCATATTTTAATGTCGGTGACACTTTACAGTGAATCATATAGTTTTGTCTGGTGAGCTTGTTTAAAATGTTTTAACATTATAATACTGTTTCTCACAGGCTTACTACCAAAATAAGCTGAAGCTGGCCCTGATTGGCCAGAGCTTGTTTGGACAGGAAGTATACACAAACCTCCGCAAGCAGGGCCATAAAGTGGTGGGTGTATTCACAGTTCCTGATAAGGACGGCAAGGCGGACCCCCTGGGTGAGTCTCAGATGGGTGGGGGTGGGATAGAGTGGAGCACTGACCGTTTTTTGTTACTGTAGTGGTGTCATGGGGGCTGGGAAGTGTCACAGAAGTGGAAGTGAGAGATGGAGAACAGGAAAATGAGAAAGCCCCCGTTCTTTTGAACATCTCTAATCAAATTTATCAGGTTTGTGGATAACATTAAGGCCGTCATTGTTGTAATGAACACTTAGAGGAAGTGAGGTCGTCACAATGCTGCATGCCTGAGCAGCTCATTGGCTCACAGCTCAACTGTGTGTGAGTGTTTATGTTTGCGTGAGGCGCAGGAGCAGTTTAGTGTTGGTCAGAGAAGAAGTACATCCCGCATAATGACCGCATTGTTTTGGTGAAAGTGGTGTGAAGCCGTGTGAGGTGAAAAGTCCCCCAGTGATCAGAGCATTTGTGATGTATGTGAGAACAAAGAGGAGACACGATCATACGATCTTACAAGAGTTCGTATGAATGGTAAAGGTCTTCACTCATTACATCAGTATACCATTGCCCTTTGTTGAGTGCCCCAAAAAAGGTTTAAAAAACTCTTATTTAATATTTAAAATATATTTAAGGATCTAATAATATTTAATAATTAAAATAAAAATTATTCTGCATTAATAATTTAATTATAAATTGCATGCATATTGAGAAGTACAAAAATAAAAAAATTATAAACACACACACACACACATACATATTTGATTACAATAAAATTATTAATGCATAATAATTTGTAATTATAATTATAAAAGTATAATTATAAAATTTTATTATAGGTGTATATGTATACACACACATTTATTTTATTTATTTATTTATTTTGCATTTTATCAACATGCAATGACATATTGAGTGGTAATATCTTTATAGTTAGGAAATATAGTTATCTTCAAAAACTACTCGTCTTAGTCTATTTGTTTGTAGAAAATTGTTTAGAGTTGCAGGATTATTCTGTAAATTCAATCAAATAAAAATGTACGTGTATAGTATAAAGTTAAAGGGATAATTCACCCAAAAATGAAAATTCTTCCATCATTAACTTACCTTCATGTTGTTCCAAACCTGAATGAGTTTCTTTCTTCTGTTGAAAATATTTTAAAGAATGTTCGTAACCAAACAATTGATGGTTGCCATTTACTTCCATAGTGTGGAAAAATACTATGGCCACCGTCAACTATTTGGTTACCAACGTTCTTCAAAATATCTTTTGTGTTCAACAGAGGAAAGAAACTCATACAGGTTTGGAACAAGTGGAAAGTGAGTAAATGATGACATAATTTTCATTTTTGGGGGAACTAGACCTTTAAGTGGATGAAACCAGGAAACATAATAAACTCCATTCCTGTTTACATCTGCTGTCTATACGGGTTGAACTGTAGAACTAGTTGATTTGTTACTTTTTGATTCATCTCCAAAAAAATCATGATTACATAATATGCCGATTACAATTTTAATGACTGTATTGAGGTGGTGAACAGTGCCCAGGGTACTATAATATTTAAGTCCTTTGAAGTTGATACAGTGGTAATACTCGGCCTGCACTAACAGTTTATTACTGATACATTCATAGATTCAGATATAAAAGACAAGGTCAGTTACTTAAGTATGCATATTGATATGATAAGTGCAGTAAAGTCTGAATATGCCAGGTGCGACCTTATATAACTTCTCAGAATCAATCTCTCTCTGACCTTCAGCGGTGGTGGCGGAGAAGGAGGGGACGCCGGTGTTTAAGTTCCCACGGTGGCGGGTGAAGGGTAAGCCCATCCCAGAGGTGGTGGAGGCGTACAAAGCGGTGGGCGCCGAGCTGAACGTCATGCCCTTCTGCTCCCAATTCATCCCTATGAATGTGATCGGCTTTCCCAAACACGGCTCCATCATTTATCACCCCTCCGTCCTGCCTAGACACAGAGGAGCCTCTGCCATTAACTGGTGAGATTTTACCCAAAATTTTACCATTTCTTTATAACTACACTAAAAATTAAAATTTGTTGAAAATGTACTCATCCACATCAGTTAATCCAAGATGTACGTGAGTTTGTTTCTTCATTATAAGAGATTTGGAGAAATTTAGCATTACATCACTTGCTCAGCAATGGATCCTCTGCAGTGAATGGGTGCCGTCAGAATGAGAATCCAAACAGCTGATAAAAACATCACAATAATCCACAAGACTCCAGTCCATCAATTAACATGTGCAAAGCTGCGTGTTTGTAATAAACAAATCCATCAAGATGTTTAACTTTAGGCTGTTGCTAAAGTACGAGTCCTCTGTTTATAATATTGCTTTCTACCGTGAAAAACACATCTTGTCTGAATCAGGAGAGAAATATGCACAGATTAAGCACCGATTACAAGCAAAATAGTCAAAAAAAAAATAAGTCGGTAGATTTTGATGTGAAGCTTTATTATGGATTATGGATGCATGGATTTGTTTCTTACAAACATGCAGCTTTTCGCTTCACAAGACTTTATTGCGGGACTGGATTCATGTGGATTACTTCTGGATTATTGTGATGTTTTTATCAGCTGTTTGGACTCTCATTCTGACGGCACCCATTCACTGCAGAGGATCAATTGGTGAGCAAGTGATGCTCTGATGAAGTAACAAACTCATCTACATGTTGGATGGCCGGAGGGTGAGTAGATTTTTAGAAAATTTTAATTTTTGGATGGACTATTCCTTTCAATTAAATGGATTTAAATATGTGTGTGCAGGACACTAATCGAGGGTGATAAGAAAGCAGGATTTAGTATATTCTGGGCTGATGATGGTTTGGACACCGGCCCCATCCTGCTTCAAAAGGAATGTCCAGTAGAGCCCAACGATACAGTGGACACACTTTATAACCGCTTTCTGTTTCCAGAGGGCATCAAGGCTATGGTAATTATGAAGAACATTTTCAAAAACACTTTTTATACAAACTAAATGCTAGATTTTGACTCCTATGAGGTTCATGAATCTGAGTTGACTTCCATATTGTGTTCAAACAGGTAGAAGCTGTACAGCTCATTGCAGACGGCAAAGCTCCAAAGATCCCTCAGTCTGAAGAAGGAGCCAGCTATGAGGGAATCCAAAAGAAATCCAATGCTAAGGTGAGACCCAAAGACAATTATGTTAATCAGTCCAAATTAAGCTTAGGTTTTTCAAAGGTAAGCAAAAAAAGGTCCAGGAAGTGAGCATCATTTTATCTGTCTTTGCCTCTCTTTCTCCAGGTGAATATGGCTCAGCCAGCAGAGGTCATCCATAACTGGATCCGTGGTCATGATAAAGTTCCGGGTGCCTGGGTTGTCATTGATGGAAAGGTGCATTTCCTAAACAATAGTCCGTTTGAATCTTGATCAAAATGGGGCCACAAAGGGGACCATAACAAAAAGATGCATATTACAAATTACATATATAAATACATATAATATTTTACAAAATGTATATTTTAAATTTCTACTGTAGTAAAATATAATAAATATTTTTATATATAATATAAATATTATATATAAAAATAATGTAATATTTTTTAAATAATATAAAAATATTACTTAAGTTATTTAAACTATTGCAAATTAAAAATAATAAATTAATGATACATTTTTGTAAATCTTTAGAAAATCATGCTAAATATTACACACTCATATATTATGTAAACAAAACTTTTATTTTGGATGCGATTAATCATTTGACAGCACAAACATTTTTACTTTAGACAAACTCAAGACTAATTCTGATGGTCCTGCTATAAGATGTTAAGTGAATAATGTTTTTACTGTATAGTAATGTGTGTGTGTGTGTGTGTATGTGTTCTTTTGTGTAGCCAGTAACGCTGTACAGCTCATCAATGCTGAGCGGGTCATTGCCCGCAGGTCAGCCAATCGAGGTGGAAGGGGCGTCTCATCCTGGACTCATTGCCAAATCTGGGCTTATTCTGTTTGGGTCTGATGGAAAAGCGGTTAGCTTTTGCTCTTTTATTTACTTAGCTTTTAGGCTTTTAGTGCATCAAGTCTGTGCTACAAATTCATAATAAAGAGAATTAACAGCTTTATTACAATATCACTGCAGCTCCAGGTGAAGAACCTGCAGTTTGAGGATAGAAAGATGATTCCTGCATCCAAATACTTCTCGTCAGATGAGGCTGCCAGTTTGGATCTCACAGACGATGAGAAGAAAATGGCAGAGGAAATCAGGGTATGTGTATGTGCCTCAGAAATGTATTGTAGCATATATTCGAGCAATTATGTCATTTTTATGTTGTTTTATACTTGTCTAGGCGATCTGGAAAGGTATTCTGAGTAATGTTCCAGTTATTGATGACACAACCGATTTCTTTAAGTCTGGAGCTGCTTCCATGGATGTAGTCAGGTGGGTATGAATTTCATTTATTTATTTATTGTTTTATTTTATTTATCCTATTTATTTATATACTGTATTTAATATTTTAAATGATATACTGTATTTAATATTTTATAGTATGTTAGAGTATTTATAGATTAGCTTTTTTAATTTTAATTTTAGTTTTAGTCATTTTTATTAAAGTAAAATAATATTTAACTTTTTTTTTTGATCGTACATTTATATTTTATTTCAGCTTTGTTTCACTGACTTTTAATAGTTTTGTAAACCTTTTTCATTTTAGTTACAATAATAACACTGAAACTAAAAGGCAAAAATGGCCCGAAATTGTTGCGACATTTACATCACAATCATGATCACATTAACATGATTTACCATGTATACATAAGATTGCTGATTTAGTATTTATCAATTTAGCAGAAGTATTTTGAGTTCATTTCACATGCAAACAGATTAGCCAATCATAACAGAGGTCATTTACATATTAAAGTCTTCGTAAAAACAGTTTCTTTAATTGTAAGGGGGCTGAAAATGGTAATGTAAAACTAAATGACAACTATTTGTGAAGAATTAGACCTTTATGAACATTATTAGTGGATACTGCGTTATTGTGATTGTTTGGTTTAGATTGGTGGAGGAGGTGAAGCAGAAATGCGGAGGAGTTCAGCTTCAGAATGAGGATGTCTACATGGCCACCTCCTTCCAGAGCTTCATCCAGATGTTCGTCCGCCGCCTGCGAGGAGAAGACCAGGAGGAGGAGCTGGTCATCGACTACGTGACAAAAGACGTCAATAACATGACAGTGAAGATGCCATATCAGTGTTTCATCAATGGCAATTTCGAAGATGCCGAAGATGGAAAGACATACAGCACTGTGAACCCAACAGATGGTTCGGTACGTTCAGTCATTTCAAACACACATGAACTCATCCCTGGCATGACTAATGGTTGTGTTGTGTTTCAGGTGATCTGTAAGGTGTCATATGCATCCGTGGCGGATGTGGACAGAGCAGTTAGTGCAGCCAAAGAGGCCTTCGACAACGGACCTTGGGGTAAGATGAACCCTCGTGACCGCGGACGGCTGCTCTACCGGTAAGATGTGTTCGAGTTTTGTTGACTTAATTGAGCCGCTGGGCAAATATTTGACATGGATATGAAAAGCCAAACTCATTTGCAAAACAAATAGTAATACAGTGCGATCATTTGACCTAGAATTGATTTCTCAGAGAACTTCCTGTTGGGCATAATTTATGTGCAACACATTGGGAATTGTTTGACTTCTTTTGTGTGTAGTTTGGCTGACCTGATGGAGGAACACCAGGAGGAGTTGGCAACTATTGAGACGATTGACTCTGGTGCCGTTTATACTCTGGCCTTGAAGACACATGTTGGCATGTCCATTCAGACGTTCAGATACTTTGCTGGCTGGTGCGACAAGATCCAGGTGTGTGTCTGTGTGTTCACTCAGGCCTTGATTTGATATTTTCCTGTCACTGACGCATCATGTCCTGTTCCTCGCAGGGCTCAACGATACCCATCAATCAGGCCAGACCCAATCGCAACCTCACCTTTACAAAGAAAGAGCCTCTGGGGTGAGTGATTGTAAATGTGTGTGTGAGTGTATGCAAATTTGATTAGCATAAATGTGTAAGATGGTGTTTGTTTGCATTTCAGTGTTTGTGCCATAGTGATTCCTTGGAATTACCCACTTATGATGTTGGCATGGAAGAGTGCAGCCTGTCTGGCGGCGGGAAACACACTCGTCTTGAAACCTGCACAGGTAAAACACACAAACACAAAAACGATTATTAGTTATATATATATTAAATTAAATGAATTAACATTATTATAAATGATTAATGATGAAAATATACAATATACAAACTAGACTATACTCTCAATTATTTTGATATTCTCTATATTCTCCCATTATTCTCTATATTTTTAAAAAGTAAAAATACCGTTGCATAAATTAATAAAAATTGAATTATAAAAAATATACAATACACACAAAATATACAAAATATGACTTACTTTCAGAAAAACACACACTTGTGCATATAAACTAGAATATATTCTCAGTTCTTTTGATATTCTCTCTATATTCTCCCACTAACTGCACTGATATTTGCTGAGTATAAATTAATAGCTATTCTATATGTATATTTTATCTGATATAATATAAATTAATACATATAAAATATATACATATGTATATATATAAAAATATACATTGATATAAATATATAAAAATATAAACTCAGTAAATATCAGTGCAGTTAGTGGGAGAATACATAAACTATTGGATACAAACTAGACTATATTCTTAGTTCTTTTGATATTCTCTCTATATTTTCCCACTAACCACACTGAAATGTGCTGATTTTATGTTTATATTTTTTATATATTTATATTAATGTATATTTTATCTGATATAATATAAACTAATACATATACTGTTATTTTAACTAAAGTACAAATACTATTAAATAAATAACAACTGAATTATATAAAACAAAAATGTACAATGTAGAAACGATATACAAAAAGATGATTTATTTACAGGGATGTAACGATTCACTCAACTCACGATTCAATTCGATTCACGATTTTGATTTCACGATTCGATTCGATTCACAATTTTTTTTAACAAAATTAGATTTAAGACAAATTATAAATTAAATGTGTCCTTTTATTATTGCTTGGACAAAATGCTGCACATTTCTTTGTGAAATTTTTTGCTTCTATTGTCCTCATTTGTAAGTCACTTTGGATAAAACCGTCAAAAGAAAAAATACCATCTAAACTTTTCTAAAGACAGTAAGTTCCCCTCAGACATACATTCATATAAACTCCTACACCTAAATTAATCGCGATTTGTTTAGCATCTCAAACGATTTGAATCGTCACATATTTGAATCAATTTTCAACCGGCTAATTGTTACATCCCTATTTATTTACTTTCCAAAGAAACAGATTATAACTGGATAGAAACTAGACGTAAATTCTCTTGATTTTTCCAGGTAACTCCACTAACCGCGCTAAAGTTTGCTGAGTTGACAGTCAAAGCTGGCATTCCCAATGGAGTCATCAACATTGTACCAGGATCAGGTATCAGGATTTGACTCATATTTCGAGTTGTATAAACAAATAGATCTCATTGACAGTAATGCACTTATAATGAAAATCTATGGGACAAAAGCAGAAATGTCCAGCATGTCTGTTTATTAAAGCACATATTTATTCCATACAAAAAAAAGTGTTACTTAAGCTGTGAAGTTTTAAAGAATCATGTTGTTATTTATCACTTAACTTTCTTACTCCCTATGATGACTGACATTTCGGTCACCTCTTTCTCTCAGGTGGTCTGGTCGGGCAGAGGATGTCTGATCACCCTGATATCCGTAAGCTGGGTTTCACAGGCTCTACTCCCATAGGCAAACAAATCATGAAAAGGTGAGTCCCATTCATGTAATTGAACTAAAGTCAAAACTATAGTTGATTACTCTTGCTATTACTCAAATATGTCATGTACAATGACAGTGAATCATTCAAACGGCTCATATGGTTTGAAAGAGCCTCCAGCTGATGATTTCTGTTGTTTATGTTGCAGTTGTGCAGTCAGTAACTTGAAGAAGGTTTCTCTGGAGCTGGGCGGTAAATCTCCCCTCATCATCTTCAGCGACTGCGACATGGACAAAGCAGTGAGAATGGTGAGAGAAGACAACTAGTGTCAAAAGTTACAGATGCAAGATCATCGTCGTCTTGAGCTTACTGTGTGTTTGTGTGTACGTTGCAGGGCATGAGCTCTGTGTACTTCAACAAGGGAGAAAACTGTATCGCTGCAGGCCGGCTGTTTGTTGAGGAGTCCATTCATGACGAGTACATCAGGAGAGTGGTACGTGTTTCCTTCGAACATTGATTGTATAATAAAGCCTGCGAGCCGCTTCTAGATGATGACGTATTGGTGTGTTTTTGTGTGCTCAGGTTGAGGAAATCAAGAAGATGAAGACTGGAGATCCTTTGGATCGCTCCACAGATCACGGACCTCAGAACCACAAGGCTCACCTGGACAAGCTGGTGGAGTACTGTGAGCTCGGCGTGAAGGAGGGGGCAACGCTTGTGTATGGTGGGAGGCAGGTGGACAGACAAGGTGAGACCTCCAATCTAAGACATCCATGATTTAAAAGGGTTTGTGAACATCAATTTGTTTTGTGAATGTTTTCGAATGTAAATAAGGCCATTTTGGTCATGTATAATGACGAATATATATGCTATAATAGTATTTCTTAATATTTTGAATTGGCTTTTATTTTTAGATTTTAAGTTGTACTTATTTTGTTATGTGTTTTGGCATTTTTATTAGTTTTTAATATATTTCTGTTCTTTATATTTAGCTTTAGCTTTATTTCAGTTTTAGTTTTATCAATATTAGTACTTTAAATTATTTATTTCAGTCAGCTTTTAAGGCACCATTTCTCATTTTCATTTAAGTTCAAGTGTTGCATTTTAATTACAGTTTAAGTTTTAGTCATTTTGTTATGTGATTTTGTCATAAGTTTTTTTTTATATTTGTATATTAATTATATTTAGCTTTATTTTTAAATTCAGTTTTAGTTTTTAGTCATTTTAAGTAACTTTTTTTTCAGTTAGCTGCCAAGGCACCATTTCTCTTTTTTTTTTTACTTTTAAGTTTTTTCATTTTAATAGTTTTAGTCATTTTATGAGCTTTCGCCATTTTTATTCGGGGTTTTTTTTTTCAATTTTAGTTTTAGTATTTTAAGTACTTCAACATTTATTTCAGGCAGCATTTCTAATAATTAATAATTAAACTAATAATTATGTCAACTTAATTTCAGTTACCAAAAAATATTTTTAGTAGTTCTAGTTAATTTAGTTATTCCATTTCTAATATCTGCCTATTTATGCTTGCAGGCTTTTTGTATGGAGCCCATAGTCTTTACTTTCATTTAGTCTTCATTTGAATAGTTTTAGTCATTTTATGATCTTTTGTCATTTTTATTAGTTTTTTTTTTTTTTCAATTTTATTTTTAGTTAAACTTGTTTATTTCAGGCAGCATTTCTAATTTTCTTTTATGTTTTCAAAGTTTCAATGTTTCATCTAATAATTATGTTTTATTTCAACTTTATTTCAGTTACCAAAAATAATTTTTAGTAATTTTAGTTAATAATTTATTTATTCCATTTCTAATATCTGCCTATTTATGCTTACAGGCTTTTTTATGGAGCCCACAGTCTTCACAGATGTAGAGGACCACATGTTCATCGCCAAAGAGGAATCCTTTGGCCCTGTTATGGTGGTATCCAAATTCAAAGATGGGTAAGCTGCCTTTTTTGGATCTTAGTAGGACTTTTTGTGGCAGTCAGACCTGCAAGATGATCTAAATCCAAGGCAGGAGCTCATTAGAACAATATGTAATATGATTGTTTGATGCTCATCAGTGATGTAGATGGAGTTCTGAGCAGAGCCAATAACACAGAGTTCGGCCTGGCCTCTGGAGTCTTCACCCGTGACATCAACAAGGCCATGTACGTGAGCGAGAGGCTGGAGGCAGGAACCGTGTTCGTCAACACCTACAACAAAACCGATGTGGCGGCTCCCTTTGGAGGCTTCAAACAGTCCGGATTTGGGAAAGACCTTGGTAAGAGTGAACAAAACGCACTGCATCATTACTCTGTATCACTTTAAAACCAGATTCATGAACATGAGGACCATGTGCATGTGTATACAGGTGAAGAAGCCCTGCACGAGTACCTGCGGACTAAAGCTGTGATGGTGGAGTATTGAATGAAAAAGACTGCATGGCCCGTGACTGCAGCTTGAAGTGGCCGGACATTGATAGGAAAAGCATTTCCTGCCATGACTACACTGATGTGCCTACGTTTTTTATCACCCTTTTTTCTGGAAATGTTTGGAGTGGGACAAATGCTGACTTACCAGTCTACACTGGCTAACAATGTTTTAAAAATGGAAAAAATGGCAAAAGACCTCCAAGTGGAGCCAAGGACACAGAATCAGCCACAAATCAGATCAAGCATTGTTTTTAACTAGTAAACAGGTATCATACTGAGGTAAAGTGAATTATCAGACTGAGTCAGTTTCAGGAAGTAACCACAACACTACAATGATCTTGAGCGTTTCCTAATCATGTTTCCAGAGACAAGTAATTTGTCTGTCCACGCTGAACATGAAACTGCTGCGTGATGCTTTTGCCGTGATGCTGAAACCAAGAAACCAACAAAATGTCCTGTCGCTCATCATATCACAACTGGTTAGGATAAAATGGCTCATTTACACAACTGTTCAAAAGTTTGAGGTCAGAAGTCTCACCAAGGCTGCATTTATTTGATCAAAAGTACAGTAAAAACAGTATCTGCATAGATGAGTGGACCAAAATTCCTCCACAGCGCTGTAACAGACTCATTGCAAGTTATCGCAAACGCTTGATTGCAGTTGTTGCTGCTAAGGGTGGCCCAACCAGTTATTAGGTTTAGGGGGCAAACACTTTTTCACACAGGGCCATGTAGTTTTGGATTTTGTTTTCCCTTAATAATAAAAACCTTCATTTAAAAACTGCATGTTGTTCACTTGTTATCTTTTACTAATATTTAAATTTGTTTGATGATCTGAAACATTAAAGTGTGACAAAGATGCAAAAAAATAAGAAATCAGGAAGGGGGCCAACACTTTTTCACACCACTGTATCTATTTCAATTTATATTAAAATGTCATTTATTTCTGTGATGCAAAGCTGAATTTTCAGCGTCATTACTCCAGTCTTCAGTGTCACATGATCCTTCAGAAATCATTCTAATATGCTGATTTGCTGCTCATGAAATATTTCTTATCATCAGTTGTTGGAAACTGTTGTGTTGCTTAATATTTTTGTGGAAACTGTTCAAAAGAACAATTTTTAAAAATAGGAATCTTTTGTAACATTAGAAATGTCTTTACTGTCACATTTCATCAATTCAATGCATTCTTGCATAAAAGTACTATTTCTATTAAAAAAAAAAAAAAAAAAACTGACCCCAAACTTTTAAATGGTGCTGTTTGTGGCCTCAGCATATTTCAGTTTTTAAGCTATTCAGCCAGTTGCACACACACACACACACACACACACACAGTCTTAGTTTTACATTTATAGTCTTATATTTATAAGCCATGTTGCATCACTGCCACTTTATGAAATCTGTATTACCATATTTGTACATCCCAAGGGTTTTTATTATGCATAGCATTTTCACATCACTCATTTTTATTAGCATAACTGTATATATTTTATTAGAGGATATGACAACTTGTCTTATTTTATATATTTAATTTTGCATTCCAGACAGAAGATTGGAAAGGGAAATGATATAAACACACTATTCTTTTTGAAAGGATGTTATTTATTTTGTAAAAAAATATTGGACATGCTTGATGGGAAAATGTAATAATAGCTTACTCTTGAATTCAATACAATGTGAAGTATTCTGAGACATTCTTGTTAAAATGACTGAAAATATCTGTTGCCGAATGTTCGCTGAAGAATCATGTTGCTTTGTTGTGCATGAACACTTCAAGCAATGACATGCATTTGACATAAGATGAAATGTTATCATATGCAGATGTTAATATGAGTATTTTAGGTTCTGTATAAACTGTCAGTCACACTGGAAGTGTCATATTGCCAAACAGTCATTACACACAACAGTATTTAAACTTTATAGCAACTACAAACAAAATGTAAGGAGCGTCGGGAAACCATTTTTACAATAAAGAATGTAAATTGAAAAAAACTTTGTTTTTCTTGATTGAAACACTGACCTTTTAATATAGTTAATGCCAGAATACAATCCATTTTTCAAGTACACTCAACTGAGATAACACAAAAGAGTGGCTTTTAGTCTCCCCAAAAATAACAATTTGCTGAAAATGTACTCACCCTCAGGCCATCCAAGATGTTGCATTAAAGATAACCCATTATAATTATAGCATATGACCTACAAATACATCTGATGACATGAACATACTCACCACTACTTCTGGGGCCCCTTTCTGTCTGCAGTGAAGCACTTTTAGAGTTCAACAGAAGTTTTTCATGGATTTCTGGAGATATCAAAGTTAGCAATTCATTTATGATTAAGTGTTCCCAAAATTATATTTGGTTATGGTGCAAATAATAAGTAACAACAAAGCACATCAGGGATGTAGTTTCATTTTTACATTTCTACATTATGATTTGAGAGTAGTTCTTCTCAACTGGTCAAATGTTAATTTAGAAACATTATTTTTATTTTCACATGTCAATTGACTTCTAGTTAGTTTTCTAAAATGAAATGGTATTTCGACCACACACAACATGGAAAAACCGAGATTTTTTTTTAGACGAGATTTTCTCTCTAAACTCAGAATGTCTCACCTTTTCCGCTGCCACAGGTCAACAAGTCTCTAGAAGAGGTTTTCTTAATATTGTTTTGTGTTTGAGCCATGGTTAGTTCCTCACATGTACAAATTCACTTGTATCCACATGTGTTTTTTTTTACACAACGTAACTTCCGTGTTGTAGGGTTGAGCCACTGTTGGCGCGGTTCCGTCAGAATGAGAGTCCAAACAGCTGATAAAAACATCACAATAATCCACAAGTTATCCACACGACTCCAGTCCATCAATCAATGTCTTGTGAAGCGAAAAGTTGCATGTTTGTAAGAAACAAATCCATCATTTAGACGTTGCATTTATTGGGGAGCAAGTTATGTACTGCTACATTTCTCTAAATCTGTTACGATGATGAAACAAACTCATCTACATCATGGATGGCTTGAGGATGAGTACATTTTCAGCAAATTTTCATTTTTTGGTGAACTACTCCTTTAATCACTCACCTTTTGGATAAAAATATCTCCAAAGAACATGAAATGTCAGTCTACTAGCTCACCAGGAAATAAAATCACTGGTCTGTGCTCATTCCAAACAACAACAAACTTGGAAGGGTTATATATTTCTTTAATAGGCACAGAAATGGCCTGGCGTGAGTCCAGCGCTCTCCCAGAGTTCCAGTTGGCAGTATGTGTTCTCTCACTCGCACTTTTTCTCTATCACCTGGATGTTGGCCTTTCTCTTTCTGTCACCTGGAAGTTTGAGTGTCTTTGCAGTGACAGTTTGCACCTCGTCCTCTGAGCTGTCTTCCTCTGATGATGATGATGATGACGACGACTCATCCTCTTCACTGCTGTCTGAATCCTCCAGTTCAACCAGAGCCACGTCCTGCAAGGCAGACACATCTGGTTATTATGGAACAAGTGAAATATTGTTATATTTAGACACGTTAAGATGAACTACAGCTGGTGGTGAGAGCAGACGCACCATCTCAATGATTTTCTCTGCATCCTCCACACTCTCAATGTTAAAGAAACCAGCAGGAGCCTCGTCCATCTGTTGTCTTAGAGACTCATTGGCTTGGGCGATTTGTGGAAGGAAACTTTGCATTCTGTCCAAGACTAGCACACAGAAACAATACACTCTTATTTAATAGATTATGGCAATTATGCATTAAAGATAACCCAACTGATGACATGAACATACTCACCACTACTTCTGGGGACCCTTTCTGTCTGCAGTGAAGCACTTTTAGTAATAAAGAGGTGGTAGTAGGTATCTTTTTTGACATTGAAAAAGCATATGACATGCTTTGGAAGGAGGGGCTGTTAATAAAATTTGAACAATTAGGAATTGAAGTCAGAATGTTTAACTGGATTAAAGATTTTTTACTTAACAGAACTGTTCAGGTAAGGGTTGGGGCTTCATATTCCATATTCCGCTTCATATTTTTTTTTCCCCTTTTTCCCTCTTTCCCGTTAATTCTTCACACTCCAGTCCAGTTGGTGGCGGTAATACACCATAAGTTGGCTTGTCAACCGCCATAAAATCGTACAAGAAGAAGAAGAACGTGATCGCACGAGTCTTTTATTTTGAAATGCGTGGTCGCTCCCGCGGCAGTGATGACGCTCGCCGCTGTCGTCCAGCGATCAGGGAAGAAGAAACTCGTCTCGACGGAACTAAAATATCACGGTACATACAGTCCTTTATTATCTTTTTACCCTTCAGAGAGATTGTTTAAATAAAATAAAGCGTTCGTTCCATTTGACAGGCTTCGCAGTTTTAATTATTAATGACTAATGTTGACCATCAGGCAGCTGGAGAATATTTAGGATGTTTTGGGGTGATTCCAATGCACAAGTCATCTACATAAAGGTTTAGACATACAGTTTAGTATTTTTTGGTAATCACAAACCATAAAAACTTAACAAATCAGGCATTTTTAATTAGTTTGTCCAACTGAAAATGCAACATGTCCTCTCCCTGCCTCCTCATCAGATGTATAATATATTGGTATATCTCTAATAATATCAGTAAAATATATGATTAGTTACTTACAGGCATAATAATGTGTTGTTCTGAACACATTATATGATGCATTTGTTAATTTCCTTTATGTTTTATAAGTTCTGTGAATTTTATCTTGCAATTTATTATTATTATTTATTTTTTTTTGCAGTTGTCAGATAAACGTTTTGATACGTGTCTGTAAATATTAATACTGAAGGGGTTCAGAAGTTAGTTCCAAGTATGGAGTACTTAGTAATTGATGTTTAAGTAAATAAAGTTTAGACTGTGTGCTAAACACTATGACTGCCAGTTCAGCATCTAGATCAAATAACTGCTGCTGACAGACTAAAAGAAAGCATATAATGATAGTGTGACCTCGAATGTGACACTTTTGTTGATGAATTTCCTCTGTGCTTATCTTTATCAGATCACTGCGATACTGTCAGAGCTTCTTCGTAGCTGTTATGGATGCCACCTGCTGTTTCTGCTGATCTGCTGCTCTTCTCAAAGTCCAGAGGGCCATGAGCCCAACTAGTTCCTGTCTGCAATATGAGCCTCCGAACCATAGGGGGTGCTGTGCTCAGCTCCCTGGGCCCTAGTCTGGCAGCTCAGGCTGGAGGAGCCTGGAGCTCTGTTGCTTTCAGACCCATACCTTCCTTGCTTCAGACCATGGTACCTGCTGGTTACACTTCCTTTATGTTTTATAAGTTCTGTGAATTTTATCTTGCAATTTATTTTTTATTTTTATTTTTTTTGCAGTTGTCAGATAAACGTTTTCATACGTGTCTGTAAATATTAATACTGAAGGGGTTCAGAAGTTAGTTCCAAGTATGGAGTACTTAGTAATTGATGTTTAAGTAAATAAAGTTTAGACTGTGTGCTAAACACTATGACTGCCAGTTCAGCATCTAGATCAAATAACTGCTGCTGACAGACTAAAAGAAAGCATATAATGATAGTGTGACCTCGAATGTGACACTTTTGTTGATGAATTTCCTCTGTGCTTATCTTTATCAGATCACTGCGATACTGTCAGAGCTTCTTCGTAGCTGTTATGGATGCCACCTGCTGTTTCTGCTGATCTGCTGCTCTTCTCAAAGTCCAGAGGGCCATGAGCCCAACTAGTTCCTGTCTGCAATATGAGCCTCCGAACCATAGGGGGTGCTGTGCTCAGCTCCCTGGGCCCTAGTCTGGCAGCTCAGGCTGGAGGAGCCTGGAGCTCTGTTGCTTTCAGACCCATACCCTCCTTGCTTCAGACCATGGTACCTGCTGGTTACACCGCACTACAGGAGGAACGGCTGGCCATGGTGGACCTCGGCACGCCCAAGCCAGAGTCCCTCAAGAACGGGTTCCACCGCGAGCCCCGCCGCCACTCGGACCGCAGCAGCCGAACGTCCATCAGCATGTCTGATGCTGGAGATGGACACTATGCGGAGACGGAGCCCATGCTGCCTGAGTGCAGGCTTTCGGGAGAAGAGGCCGATAAGGAAGAGGAGAGCGTAGAGGAAGGGCAGCTGCAGGCAACTAGAAATATGCCCAAAGAGTCACCCCTCGCCATGGCATTGCAGATACTAGTACCCTTCCTTCTAGCTGGGTTCGGGACGGTTTCGGCCGGAGTTGTACTGGATATAGTACAAGTGAGTTTTTGAAACTTTAAAGGGAGCATTTACTCACCTTTATGTTGTTACCAAACCTGTATGTCTTTTTCTTTTGCGGAACTCAAAAGAAGGTATGTTGAAGATGATTTTGTCCATATAATGAAAATCAATGGGGTCCAAAATCACACTGGACTTTCATTTTATGAACAAAAAACACTGAAGCAGTTTTCAAAATATCTTATTTTGTGTTTCACAAAAATGGTGAACTGTCCCTTTAAGTATTAAACTTTGATGTAATTCGACTTACCAATTTTGCCTGGCAGATAATAAAACTAGTAAAAAAAACAAAAACAGTCAAACATGCTTCTCAACCTTTTTGCCCTGACTACAGCATTTGAGGATCATATTTGAAGGCCCTCCTATCTAAGCTGTACCTTTGTTACTTCTGTTGTCATAAAAATGAATAAACTCAAAAATATTATGTCTGTTTAATGTTGAATTTAAATTTTTGAATTTTTTATTATTTCTATTTTTAATTAATTTGTGCATTTTAAGTAAGATTATGGTAATATAACGAAATTTAAATAAGCTGTCTTATTTTTAGGGGGCCCCACTGGAAGTTTGTTGAGGCCCCCTAGTGGGCCCGGGTCCCCTGGTTGAGAACCACTCCATAGACCTAATAGAAATCTCTCCTCTTTTTTTTCAGCATTGGGAAGCATTTAAAAACATTACAGAGATCTTCATCCTGGTTCCGGCTCTTTTGGGTTTGAAAGGAAACCTAGAGATGACCCTCGCTTCCAGGCTTTCCACGGCGGTTAGTATCCTAACTAACTTACAGCTGTTTTCACATAATTGGATCTTGCTTTAGTTCACATTAGGTGTGCCTGTAATTTGATTAGAAGTGACTGTCAGCTCTCACAAGAAGTGCTCCACTGATGCTAAGTTGCTTCATGATGAGATCTTGGCCTGTTTTGGGCATGCTCTCACCTGTCAGGACCTGACGATTCATGCTAGTGCCCATCTCCACAGACTAGGCCTGGTAGTAAAAACCATATATCAGTGATAGAATATCTAGCAAGCCTGTTATTATGGTTATGACTCTATAGGTATTTCCAACCCCCATGTGTCTGAGTAAGAAAAACACATGTAAGTTTTCAAGACAACATGTAATCTTTACTGTCTTAATGCCTGGTCTTATTGTGCAAAATATTTTAAAGAAAAAGTTTGTTTTATAATCTTTTACTTACTATATATTTATACTTCTTACACCTCACTTGCGTATTTTCTGTTGACGTAACCAATAATGTCATTACCTCATCAACCACAGCAACTGAACATTTTGTCAAGTGTTTAAATAATCAAATTTAATAAATAAATAAAGGTAAAAATGTATTAAATATTATCTAGAAATATAAAATATAATTTATGTGCAAATGGTATACATTTATACATTTAAATTTTATTTATTTATTTTTGCTGCAACATGAATTTTGGGGGCATTTTTGTCACTTTGTGGCATTTTTGCCATGAGCAACATCAGCACCTTAATTTCTGACCCTTGTAAAAATGTGTTCCAAATGCTGTTTCTTGTCGTCTTTAAAAACTTATTGTGCATTTAAACCTTTCCATAGTTAAAGTCTCAGGTGTGTTTGTATGTGTGCATAGACAAAGATTATATAATCTAGTTTAGTAACATATTCTCTCCCGCTCTCCTCTCCTGCCCTTTCCTCTGGGCGCTGGAGTCTCGGCTGCTATCTGCTGACAGAGTGATTTTATTTTTTTTGGTAGCTAGTGTGTTTTTTTTTTTTTCCTCAGTCCGGGACTTTAGAGCTCAGAGGGGTTTCAGCTCATGCTGTTAACGTCTAGTGTTCTCATGGCAAATCTGTCGTCCCCCCTCGAGGTGAAAGAATAAACAAACCCTGGCGGTGTGGACCGTGCGGAGGAGAGGGGCGAAAGTACAGGCCTTCTGTTCACCCTCATGCAGCTGGGGGGAAAAAAAGAAAAACACACACTGAGTCTATTGCCCTCAGACGGCTCTCTCCTACACGCTGCTCTTTCACATTTACATTTGTTTCCTGTATTTTCTTAAGCACACACACTTGCACACACACACTGGCTCATCGGTTGTGGAGTCGGCCATCTTGTTACTCTGTGGGCAGAGATCCATTCCAAACCAAAAATATTCTTAACTTTTCCTCACGTCAGTTTTTTTTTTTCCAATGTAAAATTCCCAATGCCAAAATCCACCACTCAGAACAGAAGTAATTTTGTCACATACTATTGTTTTCTTATTTTAGCTTTTAGGTCTAGAATCAAAAGATTAAAAGAAAACATTGTATTTTATATATTATTTTAAGCCTCTTTTTAGGGCCATTAAGATTTTTCTGCATTGTTATTCTCTTTTTTTTTTATTAATGTAAATTAAATTATTAATATAAATCAGTGTAATTATTGTAATTAATTACATTAAATTCAGTACAACTTATTATATATTACCATGATGTATAAATATGTTACAATTATAATTTTTTTGAATAACACTAATGTAAAAATTGTCACTGCACAAGATCTTAATGGTCCTAAATAAAGTTGCTTTTATTTTTGGGTGAAAATGTTTGAAATATTTATAATTTATCAATGTTTTGTCAACTTTTTACCTTTGCTTTTAAGTGCTAGAAAATGTGCATAAAACATATGTGTCACATCTCAGTGACCACAGTCCAAGTGACTGAATATAATAGTAATGAGAGGGAAAAAAATTGTTCATCAATTTTGTTGTCTTTAGGTGAATGTGGGGAAAATGGACTCACCCATAGAGAA